AAAAAAATACAGATTCGAGCCGTCATTAATCATTTGGAGATAGTATTGCAGTACTATACGTATGCATATAGGTTTATCCTTCATCCTTTCGGAAGTTTCGATGTAAGGATTCCTTTACTAACACAATGCAGCCAACTCCATTTGTTAGAACAGCTTCCATTGAGTCTCTGCACCTATCCTTTTTTATTCTCGGTTTATGAAACCCTTGTTTGTTTTAATAAAACAGGATTTGGCTCAGGATCGCCCATTTTTAATTCCAGGGTTTCTCTGAATTTGAAAGTTCTCACTTGGTAGGTTTCCATACCAAGGCTCAATCCAATTAAGTCCGTAGCGTCTACCAATTTCGCCATATCCCCTTTTTTGTTTTGTGATGTGATTAGGATCACATTATGATGCCGTCACCCTTTTTTCTTTCATTTATATTATGCTGGAACCGTTGAATTCATTAGATACCGGTTCCTATATTGAAAAGTGTTTTCTACTATTTGATTTCTTGTCTATTTTCTTTGATCTCTATCGGAGACCAGTATTTGGTCCAATCAGAAATGATTCTATCATTTCTATATCACATTTCTATATCAGAAATTCAATATAGATATATACCGCATAACATATATATTATACTATATATAATATATTTATTATACTTAGATATGCCCCTATTTCTATCCGTGCAATTTTGAATACTTGAACGGTCGATTCTTTTTTTTTTTTCATCTTAGCTTTCGCCTTTTCGAATGAAACCAGAGGAGTGTTTCATTATGATCTGAATTACACTTTTATCTTTCATTTTATTCTTATCCTTTTCTTAGGGCAGACCCTCTAATAACATAACAAAAAAAAAGGAAAATTTGAATTAATTTAAAATTTAATTACTAGCCATAACTAATAAAATGGCTATAAACAATCATTCCGTTAATTTATAATTAGAATATAATTCTAAATAAAATATATAAAAAAATTAAAATATATTTCATATATAATATATATGAAATATAATAAAATATCAAAAAAACATAGTACTATAGAATAGTCAAAACAAATCTTACTATTTAATTAAGCTAATTAAGATATTAATTATCGATAAACATATATTTGAGAAATAGATCGAAATTTAATATTCAAATATCCAATATTCTTTATATATATATTTTATATATTTATTTATTATTATTTTTATATAAATAATATTTCTTATGAAATAGCTAAGAATGAACAATTAATATCTCAGTAGTTTACTAAATTAGTATATGTGTACAATTTATGTTATGCGAGCCCGCTTAGCTCAGAGGTTAGAGCATCGCATTTGTAATGCGATGGTCATCGGTTCGATTCCGATAGCCGGCTTTTCTCCATTTGTTTGATTTTTTACATAATTTAATTGATAATGTGAAATCAAAGTGAAAAACTTCTTTCCCTTTTCCCAAGGGTCACTGATCTATTTCTATTATTTCGTAGGAACTTCCAATTATGAATAAAAATTGGATTGGAGGAGTTCGGTCTCTGTAGAACAAATCAATTAAGATAAGAAAAGAACCCTAAATTTTTATTATTTTAAATTCTTTTTATTTATATAATACAATTATTTATATACAATAAGGTACGGATATTGATACAATTCCTCTAATTATTTATTCTTTGTAATACTTCAGTAAATTTCGCTTAATTTATCATATTTTAGTTTAGTTTTAATTTTGTTTTATGAAATTTCATAAAAAATAAGGAGTCTTTATGTCGCGTTACAGAGGACCTCGTTTCAAAAAAATCCGTCGTCTGGGGGCTTTACCGGGGCTAACTAGTAAAAAGCCTAGAGCCGGAAGCGATCTTAGAAACCAATCGCGCCCCGGCAAAAAATCTCAATATCGTATTCGTTTAGAAGAAAAACAAAAATTGCGCTTTCATTATGGTCTTACAGAACAACAATTACTTAAATACGTTCGGATCGCCGGAAAAGCCAAAGGGTCAACAGGTCAGGTTTTACTACAATTACTTGAAATGCGTTTAGATAACATCCTTTTTCGATTAGGTATGGCTTCGACTATTCCTCAAGCCCGCCAATTAGTTAACCACAGACATATTTTAGTTAATGGTCGTATAGTAGATATACCAAGTTATCGCTGCAAACCCCGAGATATTATTACAGTGAGGGATGAGCAAAAATCCAGGGCTCTGATTCAAAATTATCTTGATTCACCCCCCCGTGAGGAATTACCAAAACATTTGACTCTTCACCCATTCCAATATGAAGGATTAGTCAATCAAATAATAGATAGTAAATGGGTCGGTTTGAAAATAAACGAATTGCTAGTTGTAGAATATTACTCTCGTCAGACTTAACCATAACTAAAATAACAAGGGTTCGGGCAATTTTGCCCCCTTCATTTTGGCTTAAGTAAAGGGACCCGGGGTAAGTAAGGTAAGGGGTTTCATCTGGGGATTTTTCTCTTATTCATGTATCATAGATCGGTAGGGTATTTTCATTCCTTGTCGATTTTGTCCAGTATTTTTCGTACCACAGAAATTCGGGGTAGGAATAGATAATCTATATCAAAGAAAGGTCTAACTGTTGGAGTATCCATTCTTATTTGATGCATTGCAGTCAGTAACATTGGTGAATTAGTTGACGAGTACGGAAAGAGAGGGATTCGAACCCTCGGTAAACAAAAGTCTACATAGCAGTTCCAATGCTACGCCTTGAACCACTCGGCCATCTCTCCTACATAATGATTATGGCCCAAAAACCGAGTGAATAGTGAGTCATTCATATTATTTTGGATAGGTATTATGTACATTCAATTTTAACTCTAAAAATAGAAAACTTTTCATCAAAGAAAAATACTTCCTCCGAGGCTGGGGATAAAGATAAATCCTTTTGGGAAAAATTGTAAAATAAGGATATATATCTATTCATGTTTGCGAAGATGGTGTTTCCGCCCTTTCTAATATTTATACCGGATTAAATCACTCAATTGAAACGAATCCAATGATCGATATATTTTTTTTAGACTGTGTTTAATGGATACCTTTAAATCATGATTCTATTTAGTTTACACTATTATTCAATTTTCATAAAAATTATAAAATTTCTTTCCAGTTTTAGATTTTTCAACAACAACTCTTTACTCCAACTTCTTAACCCATAAATTTATTCCAAATTCATGAACCGCCCCCGGATTTTTTTTATTGATTCCTGTCAAAAAGAAACAATTTGAGTAAAAGGTCTTCCTTTTTAATGAATCCGTTTTTATGTTATTTCGTACTGCACAATTCCTTTGTTTGTGGGATCATTTTCTCACGAAAGGGAATTAAAATAAATTATAGAATGGATTAATACACCTATGTCTAGATCTGGGATAAATGGAAATTTTATTGATAAAACCTTTTCAATTGTAGCCAATATCTTATTACGAATAATTCCGACAACTTCGGGAGAAAAAGAGGCATTCACCTATTACAGAGATGGTGCGATTTGATTATTTTTTTATTTTTTTTATTTTTACCGCTCTCGGTCTTAAGAGAAAGACAACATTATTCGGGATAGGAAGAAAAAAATTATGGAAATAAATCTACGCTTGTTGAAGGTGAAGTTTGTAAATAAAACAACGCCTTCTGTCGTGTATCCCCGATTAATGCAGCCTCAGATGCTTCAATTGTCGATTCTAGAGTATTGAGCGAAAGGTTACACCTATGGGTTAGGTCAACCCTACTCCACTAGTACCAATAGGGTGCATAGGGGAAGAAGCACTACTCCTAGGAATCAACACACGAAAACTTTGTTATAAATTATCCCTTTTCCTTATCAGGATCGGGACTAACAATGGTTGGGACAACAAACATCCATCTCGTTCGTATTTTGGATACCCGTATAACCATCGAAGACTGTTGAAGTGACTAATTCCTGCAAATTTAAGGGCGTTGAAGACAAAGAAATTGTTGGAGTAACTTTTTTTTATCTAATACCAACATGCTTGATGTTAAGGAAAGATCTTCTACAAGAAGGTTGGCTAGAGATTTCTTGTAAAAACACCAGCCCCGCTTAGTTTATAATGAGAATATTTCAGTCTTTTTGATTCCATGTATTATTATCATTATGCACATAAAGGAGGAGCCGTATGAGATGAAAATCTCATGTACGGTTCTGAAACGGAGATTCTTTGAATCGAATGACGACCGTAACGGATGTCGGCTCAATCCGAAGGAAATTATGCGGAAGCTTTACAGAATTATTATGAAGCTATGCGACTAGAAATTGATCCTTATGATCGAAGTTATATACTCTATAACATAGGCCTTATCCACACAAGTAACGGGGAACATACGAAAGCTTTGGAATATTATTTTCGGGCCCTAGAGCGAAACCCATTCTTACCACAAGCTTTTAATAATATGGCCGTGATCTGTCATTACGTGCGACTATCTCCACTATAGAAATAAAAAAAGGAAAGAAAGAAAAAATCCGTTAACGTTAATAAATACTAGAAACAAAGAGTAGGCTTTCTACATATGTATCGTTCAAAACAACGATTTTTATCAGCTGTAGCAAAGAAATAAACTTCATAAAAGTCGAAATATGAATATGAAGAAATAGGTATGCCTAGATACTTTACTTTTATTCTATGGATAAAGGATCTAATTGATAGAGGAAGCGCCGTAAAGATCAATTCGCGAGGTTTTGGTCCGATACAATAAGAACTGCTTACTTATGTCATGATATGAGATAAAAGTTAGGAATCCACTTATGTAATAGAGTCGATCCCCTAAGGTATTGAGCAGCGGTGTAGCATCAGATCCCAAAGATGGTAAGTCTTTTCCTTCTTATGAAGGAAGGCCTTTTTCAAAGATTCTATATAAATTTATATATGAAACCGAGATAGTTACCTTTCAGAAAATTCGAATAATAGTGAAAACGCTTATGCTTTATTTTTCTGAAGGTGGGAGAAAAGATAAAACTGATTATTAATAAAAATTTTAGTTTGAAACTCATGTAATTAACCTCTTTC